TAAAAAAATATAAAAATAAAATAAATAAAACAAAAATTATCAAAAATAAAATAATAATACAATTAAATAAATAATATAAATAAAAATATGCAAACAAATAAATTAAAAATAGATAGAATTAAATACAAATACAAAAAAAATTTATAATAAAAAAGTAATAAGATAATCAAATTATAAATAAAATACTTAAAAGCAGACAATATAAAATAAATAATAATAAAAGCAAACAATAAAATAAATTAAGAATAAAAATAAATTATAAAATATGCAAACCCACCCCCTATAAAACACATACACTTATATTTACAGCACACTGAAGGGCAGTGAAAAAATGTTTTGCCCTTACCTGCACGTTCGCCTTTTAAAGTGTCCCAGACGTTGCAGTTGAAGTCGTCGTATCCAGCCAGCAGGAGGCGTCCACTCTTGGAGAAGGCCACGGAGGTGATGCCGCAGATGATGTTGTCGTGAGAATACATCATGAGCTCCTGATCCGCGCGCAGGTCAAACAGCCTGCAGGTGGCGTCGTCTGAACCCGTGGTGAAGGCATTTCCATTCGGAAAGAACTGCGAGAGTAAACAACCGAACTCAATACAACTGCTCATGTAGAGGAGCTTCCACACCACCCGATCTAAACAAATAGCAAGCATGATTTTAAACATCTTACGCAGACGGCATTTATATCCGAGACGTGGCCAGTGAAGGACTGCCTGCACATCCCGTCTCTGATGTCCCACAGTTTAGCAGAAGCATCGCAGGCTCCTGACACGAAAGTCTTTAAATCGGGACTGACCGACAGACTCATGACATCCCCCGTGTGTCCGGTGAAACTGGTGGTCTGCTGGCCCGTCTCAATGTCCCACAACGCACTGCAACAAAAGAGACACAGGAGCAAAGTTGAACACAGGTTCCATTTGGTTTCAATCAAAACCAAACGCTTTTAATTCAAAGACAACCTGAAATAACACCTATGATGCATTTAATATTGCAATAAATCATTCCTGTAGCTCAAACATTAAGGTCACGGGTTCGACTCCCCGGGAATGCATGAGCTAATAAAATATATACCTTAAATGCAATGCAAGACTTTGGATAAAAATAAATAAATAAATAGAAAATAAATAAATGATAAAATATACAATTAAAAAAAAACAATAAAATAAATATAAAAAATAAAATAAAAATAGTTTTTAAAAATTAGCTAAATTAAATAAAATTAATGCAAGACGCTCTGAATACAACGTACAACAAACGTGAATTTCAAAAAGGAAAAATTAAGCTAAAATATGCACATGCCACATAAAGTGTCCCTCGACATACTAATACTAGACAATTATAATTAGTTTAAAGGGGTCATATGATGCGATTTCATCCCACAGTTTAGCAGAAGCATCGCAGGCTCCTGACACGAAAGTCTTTAAATCGGGACTGACCGACAGACTCATGACATCCCCCGTGTGTCCGGTGAAACTGGTGGTCTGCTGGCCCGTCTCAATGTCCCACAACGCACTGCAACAAAAGAGACACAGGAGCAAAGTTGAACACAGGTTCCATTTGGTTTCAATCAAAACCAAACGCTTTTAATTCAAACCTGAAATAACAACTATGATGCATTTAATATTGCAATAAATCATTGTAGCTCAAACATTAAGGTCATGGGTTCAAATCCCCAGGAATGCATGAGCTAATAAAATATATACCTTAAATGCAATGCAAGACTTTGGATAAAAATAAATAAATAAATAGAAAATAAATAAATGATAAAATATACAATTAAAAAAAAACAATAAAATAAATATAAAAAATAAAATAAAAATAGTTTTTAAAAATTAGCAAAATTAAATAAAATTTATGCAAGACGCTCTGAATACAACGTACAACAAACGTGAATTTCAAAAAGGAAAAATTAAGCTAAAATATGCACATGCCACATAAAGTGTCCCTCTACATACTAATACTAGACAATTATAATTAGTTTAAAGGGGTCATATGATGCGATTTCAATTTTTACTTTCTCTTTGGAGTGTTACAAGCTCTTGGTGCATAAAGAAGATCTGTAAAGTTGCAAAGACTAAAGTCTCAAATCCAAAGAGATATTCTTTATAAAAGTTAAGAGTCAGCCACGCCTACCTAAAACGGCTCGTTCTAACACGCCCCCACATACCTACCTCACTATGTGGGAAGATTTCATAAATTCATTAATTATGTATTTCATTGATTAATGATGTATTGTATGAAATGCCACACAGAAAGAATCGTTTTAGAGCAGGGTTTCCCAAACTGAGGTCTGTGAGTTAGCTAAGGTAATAATTTTTTAGTTAATTAATAGTTAATTAAATCATAAAAATGGCTAATTTAAATACATAGTTAAATACAAAATATAGAATTATATGATTATAATTAGCAGTCAAAAGTTTGGAATAATTAAAAATCTAAATGTTTTTGAAAGAAGTCTCTTCTGCTCATCAAGGCTGCATTTATTTTTATCAAAAATACAGTAAAAAGAGCAATAGTGAGAAATATTATTACAAGTTAAAATAACCATTTTCTATTTAAATATATTTTGTAATGTAATTTATTCCTGTGATGCAAAGCTGAATTTTCATAAATAAATAAATAATTATTCCACACTTGCCTGGTAGTGGATGTATTATTATTATGTAACATCAATAATAATATTGCAAAAAAAAAAAAACTGTAAAAATACAACACTTTAAATATTTTATTTGTTTACCTAAATAATCCGGCATCAGAGAACCATTGAGTGTGTTGTTATATTGTTGAAAAGTTAACTTGTAATCTCTGTAAATATTTTAGGTCAAAGTGGTTCGGCTGATGAAGTTTGGGAATCCCTGCTTTATGACTGAGGAGATAAATAAATGTGACTCTACCTGTGTGTCCAGCCAGTTCTCGGTTGACCCTGACGTTACCCTCGCGGGTTTTAAGGCTGTAGGTGGAGCAGATGTTGTCTAGACCTCCGCAGGCCACATAGTTCCCCGACGGGGCGTAAGCACAGGTCATGACCCAGGAGGAGCGCAGGGGAATAGCGTGCATCTGCCGGACAGAGTTAAAAACATACAACATCCTTCAGTAATGTAACGAGCTAAAGTGGAAGATAAAAAGAAAGCAAGACTGGGCAACACTGTAAAAAGTGGTAACCAGCAACCGTCATCAGATGGATGCTCTGCAGTGAATGGGTGCCGTCAGAATGAGAGTCCAAACAGCTGATAAAAACATCACAATAATCCACAAGTAATCCACAGCACTCCAGTCCATCAGTTAACATCTGGAGAAGACAAAAGCTGAAACAAATCCAGCATTAAGACGTTATTATGGACTCGTATTTTAGTTAAAAACGTCTTAATGCTGGATTTGTTTCAGCTTTTGTCTTCTCCAGATGTTAACTGATGGACTGGAGTGCTGTGGATTACTGTGATGTTTTTATCAGCTGTTTGGACTCTCATTCTGACGGCACCCATTCACTGCAGAGCATCCATTGCTGAGACACTGATGCAATGCTACATTTCTCCAAATCTGATGAAGAAACAAACTCATCCTAATCTCGGATGCTCTGAGAGTGAGCACATTTTCAACAAATTTGAACCATTCTTGGACGAAGGTGAACTATTCCCTTAAAGAGCGATTTTTATCTGATTCAACCCATGAAATTATCTTCGTCTGTATTTTAGGTTGAGTCGGTGATGCTAAATAACATTTTTTATTTGAATAATTTGCGCATGGCTCTAGTATCGCATTACCTTGTTGGTCGTATAACCATCCCATATGATCAGTTTGCCATCTTGGGAGGCACTGACAAGTAACCTAAAAAAAGAAAGGCAAAGAAATGATAAAAATCCACACTGCAGCGTATCCATTTTTCAATCAACGAAACGTAATTAATTCAGGACACAGATGGGATTTGAGAAACATGGTGGGAAAACGGAAAACGAACACCAGGGTCCCAAGCGTTATTTCATGAAATATTAATCACACAGTTGAAACTAGACCAGCTCAGAGTGTTTAACGCAGCGTTCTTTTGTACATAAAACCAATCGTGATGATTAGGGACTCTCCGATCGAACACACACCTGGAGTCGCTGCCCCAGTGCATGGCGTAGATTTTGGCGAGATGACCTCTGAGCGTGCGTCTCGTTCTCATCTGTATCCGCCCCACTGAGTCCAGGCTCGCTGTCATCTGCCATATGAGCCCAAAACAGCAAGAGAAGAAACGCCACACAACATTATCAGCTTCCATTAGAGCGCTTTTCTAGTCCAGTGGTACAGTAAGCAAGCTCAGCATCATCTTCTACAGCATTTCATGTGCATTTAACTCATTTACTCAACATTCTGTAAAAATGCAGGGGAAAAAAGCTGAAAAATTTTTGTTTTTTTTTAATTAAGCAAGTCTGTAGGTGAACTGGTTGATATATATGAATAACATCTTTAAAAAATACTTCTGATTGGCAAAAAAGGCCTAATATTAAGTAATTTGATGATGCTAAGTTCAAAAATATCAAAAACTTTATCACATACAGTTTTTGCACAAAATAAGAATATGTGGCCCTGGAGCACAAAACCAGTCATAAGGTTACATTTTTTTAAATTGAGATTTATACATCAATGGAAAGCTATTTATTCAGCTTTCAGATTATGTATGGTTTGTTAGGATAGGACAATATTTGGCCGAGATACAACTATTTGAAAATCTGGAATCTGAGGGTGCAAAAAAATCGAAATATTGAGAAAATCATCTTTAAAGTTGTTGGTCAAAATAACAAATGTTTTCATTTGTTGTGATTGAAAATCAGGGTTGTTCCACCAAATATTGATTTCTTAACTCTTCTGAAGTTAAAACATTGGTATTGTTTTGTCTAAAAATGAATATAAACATGTTTGAAAACATGGCATCTTTTTTGTTATTTTTGACCAATTGTCATTTCATGGAAAAAAATGCTCTAAATGATATTTTTATTTAAAATTTGGAAGAAATGTCATCAGTAGTTTACAGAATAAAACAAAAAAAAATATGTTTTACATAAACACATAACTATAAATCAAAAATCTAGAGAAACTTTGTTTTTTTCCATAGCTGTATAAATGTAATTATCAGCTTTAATGCACTTATCAAAATAACAAAAGCAGTCAAATGTCACAAGTTTTGTTTTCAAGACAAAACAAATTCCAAATGTGTCGTTTCACTTACAATCTGCGAAGGAGTGGAAAAATGTTCTCCATTTAATGTCAAAGAACTAGGCTGATAATTGAACAAATGGTTGTAATCTGGCTCAGAGGAAGGTCTATGTGCTGCTTTTCTGCTGATTAATGGATTATACAAGACTTCTTCATCTTACAAATGATTGTTAAAAGCAAAAATGCATCATATTTAGTGAAAAAGTGTGACGAGAATGAGCACTATTTTTGGTATCAGCACCCCAAAATTATTAAGAAACGACTATTGGATTTCATGCAACAAATATGATGCAGGATGGTGCAATCATTAATGATTTATGTTTCGTACCTGCGAAAGTGTGGAGTCACTGCAGGCTTTTCTAGCATCCTGAAAAACAGCACCAAATGCAATTCATGACAAAACTCGCCAATCTAAATAAACAGCACAGGAAGTGTACAGCTCACATGGACGTCCTCTCAAATGAATGTTTCCTTTTGTTGCATGTTGGTCCAAACACAAGCAAGCGCTGATGAACAATCGCACTTACCCGGATCTGGTTGCGAAGCTGTTCCGCTTCCTGTCGCAACTGCTCCAGCTCACTCATTGTTCCTGTTTGACCGGCACCTGAGACGAGAACGTGCTGGACCTGCAATCATGCATCATACAATTACATCTTTCATACACTGCATGCGCTCACCCGTCAATCAAACATTGCACTAGTGATGCATGCAATCATGAAATCCCTTAAAATGCAATTACAAATGGACCAGCTTCCTTTGACCAAATCCATTCCAGCAACTTTAATTGCATGCACAGACTGATCTGAGAGCAGTGGGAAATGACGCAGAGCTCAAAGGGTCTTCAAAACACCACCGACTGCTGCCAAATGCCACCCATATGTTCACTGACCTTTCCGTCAAATCTCCGCGTCTTTGATTCCATGCGAAAGTGTTAATAGAGTTATAAAATCTACTACAAGGCAAGCTCAAACAGCGTCTGAGAGTTTACAGTAACCAGGGTCTAGTACCCTGATGGTTTTAGTTACTAGTAGGGCTGTGCGATATTGAAGAAAAATGCGATATGCGATACCTTGTTAAAAAATGCGATATGCGATACGATATTGCTTAAAGTGTGTCAAATCAATTTCAATTATATTTTAAAATATTTAAAAATGAAAATATAACCAATTTGTTTCACATTCTTTCTTGGAAAATTTCTGACTTCTGAAAGTGACCGGCAGTGTTTTAGCATTACATAAAAAGTAATGTCACAAATCAGAAAATGTCATTTTAACATCAGTGTGAACATAGAAACAAAAAAATGAATGACACGCTGCTTTACCCCACATACACACCACCGGAAGCAGCGGAAGCGGTCGTTCAGCGGCCTCGTTTCGCTTCGACGGCTTTCAGCCTCACCCTGCTTCATTCTACTACGTTAATAAATCATTAGCTCATCCATGATCATGATTTCTGCCCGAGTCCCGTCGGATTGCATCGGCTGTGGGGATGAAGACCACAACTCCCACGGCGTCATCAAACTACGCCTTTGTCTATTTGTTTATTTTGAATGTGCGCCCTCCAGCGGCGAAAATTACATATTGTGCTTTTAAGTAAAGTACAAAAATGTAAAATGAAAAATACTTTTTAAATCAAATCAATTAAAATAAAACGCTTCCTAAAAAAATATATATTTTATGTTTACCTGCATCAGACAACCCTGAACACATGGGTGTTTTGTTAAATTATTGAAATATTAACTTAAAATTTCAGGGAAGATGTCAATTAATATTTTAGTAAAAAAAAAAAATAGTGAATCCTGTATTAGGCCAATCTAATTTAGTGTCTGTTGAATGTGTAGCTCAAATGGATTTTTGTGCAAAAATAAAATACTAAAATCAGCTCTGAAAACATGATGTCAGAAAACTTTCACATAAACAGCCATTTCAAGACAAGTCAGAGAAATTCAACTTAAGTATCTGAGATACATGAATGAGAACCTGTGCGCTTTTATTTACCGTATTGGCCCGAATATAAGACGACCCTGATTATGAGACGACCCCCCTTTTTCCAGATGTACCTTTTGGAAAAAGGCTTTTTAAAAACCTATTCGGGACAATACGATAGTTAGAAAAAAAAAAAATACAACTGAAAAAGCAATTCCAGGAAGCCTCTTATTTCCCTGCTGGGAAGAGGAACTCAACGATATTATGGCTCGTTTCCACTGAACGGTACGGTACAGTACAGTTCAGTATAGGGGTGTGCGATATATATCGTCTGCGATAATATCGTAATTGTTGATTTAACGATGTGCGATTTGACATTATCGAGTATTTTGCAAAAACCATTCAAAACATTCCTACAGAGCGCACGCATACATTACGTGAAGTCTAGACTAGTGCGTGTGCGCATTTAATTTTTTACAGTGTACCATTCACAACTTTTGACAGTGGAAACGGAAATAATTGCGTACCGTACTGTACTGTACCGAAAGGTACCGCTCAGTGGAAACGAGCCATTACACACAATCACAAAATGACAATCTAACACCTGTATGCAATGCATGTATATATATCCAGAGTAGGGATGGGCGATATCTTATCGTTTGAGATATACCGGTAAAAATTCTCCCCATGATAAGAATTAGACTTCCCGCGATAATAATGATAAAGTCTAGTTGTTGACATATTTCTGTGTGCGACAGTGCGGAGCGACATCGCGGAAGGCGGACGTGAAATTGAGGAGGAGTAGCCTATCGCTAAATGAGGAGCTCGAGCTCCTTTTACAATCTGTAACTGGTAGCACGTGTGCGATACAGTTTTGCATGTGTATGAGCCCGTTTACAAACCTGTATCTAACAAAGATATAATTTATTGACATGCTTTTTCTCCAAATTAACTTAACATAGTCGAGTGTTTGAAATACTTCTTTTTGTGACCAGACGCAGTTTCATATTACAGAATGATAGTATATACAGTGATAAAAGGCCATGTCGATTAACATTGCATTATAAATATACTTTCTAGAGGTCGACCGATGTATCGGTTTTGCCAATTAATCGGCACCGATAGTTGATTGCTAGAACTATCGGTTATCGACAAAAATCCATGCCGATAGTTTTCCGACTAGTTACTTTTTTATTGATTACATGATGACATATTATTCACACAATAGCAATAAATTATTCAGAATTGATTGATTCTCCCTAATTCCTCTTTTAAATGTTCCTTTTTAAAATATCCTACCGCTTGTATACACTCTTCCAGTTTTGTGGACATTCACACAGAGATCAGTCACTTTGACCACTGAAGTGTTTCAACGTTGCATCATTACTACTGATGAACACATTAATATTTATCTGACTTATCACTCAGTAGGTTATTTAACCATCTATTTCAATGTCTTTGGAAAGCCTTTGTCTTTCAAACACATTAAAATGCACAAATTCACATTATTTCTTATTTAAATGTAACGCAGGCATTCCCAAACTTTTTTGTCATCTGAACATCTTTCATTTAATATATTTACTTAAAGAACCCCTGAGATTTTAAAATAAATATTTAATAATTAATGTATCACATTTGCATGTTCACGGTTCTCTGGCGTTGGTTAATGGTCACATGACATGCAGGTAAGCAAATAAAATATTTGATCTTTTAGGAAGCGTTTTATTTCGATTTATGTTATTTTAAAATGATTTATGATTTAATTATTAGCTTTTCATTAACCTCACAAACCCCCTGCAGTTCTTTAACGAACCCCAGTTTGGTAAACATTGATGAAATGTAATGTTTAATCCACTTTATGTCGTTAATTTCAACAAATGGAATATATTTTCTTACTCTTTGTATTTTTATATCAATATGGTACAAGATTATCCTATTTAAATCAATGTGATAAGTGAGTAAGGTCAAAAGTAATCTAAATGTAATCCGATTACATTACCTGAAATGTGTAATGTAATGGATTACGTTACAAACTACAATTTGTGTCATGTAATTTGGAATTAGTAAGAGATTACAATTAGTAAGTAATCTACCCAGCTCAATTGAGATTATCTAATAAATACTGAAATCTGTTTGAAAATAATACCTGCTAGACCCATTTCTAAACACTAAAAAAATAAGTTCATCAAATTAAAATTTTCACTGTTAGCCAACAATATTTAAGATTAAGGGATCATTAGACTGCATTAGAGTAAAACAGCATATGAAGCCCGTAAATATCAAAATAATTAAAGCTGGCATCTAAAAAAAAAAACTTTAGGTGAATCAAAACAGACTGAGATTTCAGCAAGATAAAGTGAAAGTAAAACTATCAGCTTCTGCTCAAACACTAAATACATTAAATACGATTCTAACAATGAAAAGGAAATTCTGTGGAGATTATATTTATATAAATATAATTATTTGCCGATTGCATTCACATGTATTCATCCAAGTAAGACTTTAATTCAAAAACAACAGTTCATGTTTACTATAGTAATTTGAGATTATGTGTCACACAATATGACAACACAGCTGAGATTTGAACCCACCTTTCATTTATCACACTAACTAACTAACTAACCCATTTGGATGATTAACCAGGAAACACTTAACAGGCTATAACTCTTGTAACGTTAGTTCAGTGTTTATCGGGCCTCCTGCCGCCTCTTCACTTTTAACCATAACCAGCAGATTATAATTTAACTAATTAGCTACTAAATCGAGATTCAACCCATAATTGACAACAAAAACAGTAAAAGCGAGTTTAACGGTGTAAATAAATGGCGCGTTTACAAGCAGGAAATAGACGAGAAAAGAGAAACGCGGCGGACGGTTGTTTTTCCACTCACCTGATCAGGCTAGTTTGGGCAAATTCCGCTTCTTTCAGATCCCTGGCATGTTGATAAGCGCACGAATTAATTTCAAAGTAGCACAATTAATTGGAAGTCAATTTTAAACACATTTAAAGGGCCACGCAGCCCTCACTCGAGCTGAGGGGCAATTTTCGCCAGCAATCTCGTCACCACACCCATAAGGGAACCGGGAACATGGCAACAGGCGACACGGAGGGGGGAACCGACAAACACCGCGTATCTACAAAAGGCTACAATCACTGTTTAAAAGCACAAATGTGACTTATATTACGATTGTATATATAAAACTAAAATATACCTGCACATTGAGTGTTTTTGTGTGAATAGAGTCAGCCACCACACACGCTTCGCGGTCGGGTTCCCCTACAGACGAATGGAACAGTCCGCCCGCTGCCTCAACAAAGCGCCTGTAGGAGAAACAGGAAACGTATCCGCTGCGTGTTTGCGTCTCGCAGGGAAACTTACATTGTTTTGTCGTAGTAAAAGTTACATTTCTACTTTTAAGTGCTCGGAAACA